AAGGAAACGGAAAATTTTCCACCACATTAAAATGTATAGACGTCCATTTGTCACAACTAAATATCGTGGACATGGGGTACGGCTGCACTTTGGATATGCAAAGTACTGAGGCTTTCTTCCCATGGTTTATATTCATCCCTGCTACTCATTTCTCTTCATTATTATGGTTCTGATATTATGAAGGCGCTAGTTCGGTCTTATTGGAGCACAGAATCACTTCCCATTGACAGCACTGAGAACATTTATACATTTTGTTTTGCTGATGAAAGTAGAAAGTGCTCCCCGCCTCATGACAAGAAAAAGAGTTGCTGTCAGTGCACTTCGTTTATGAGCTGTGCTGCAGCCAGCCAGTTGCGTTTGGGCCCAGACGCTGTGATGTGAAGTGTGGTGATGCAGGAACTTCCTGCCTTGGCTGTGCCGAGCAAATGTCACCACGTGCCTTACGTGTGGAGCCTGCGTGACCCCATGGGATTCATCCCAATCTCAGGTCATTGCCAGAATGAATCCCGGGAAGGGGGCTGTTGGCATGGCACCACAAAGCTGCATGGGATGCCCATGCCAGCATGCAGGGTTCAAGTCCTGACTCCCCCCTACCCCCACTCCCGCCCGCTTCCCGCTGAAGCAGTGCTGGGAGTCAGCAGCAACGACTCCATTAGCTGGATCCTTGCCAGCCATGCAGGGGACCTGGCTTGAGTTCTGAGCTCCAGCCTTAACTGTTCCAGGCATTTGGGGAACAGACCAACAGATGGAATAGATCTTCCACTTTGTCTAGTGCGTGCACACACTCTCTCCCTCTTTCTGTATTTTAATTTTTAAAAGCTTATTTTTAAAAATGAATCCTAGCTGAGAAAACTGAAAGTTGATGAGGTTTAGAGACATGTTTGGGTTGGTGTCGTAGCATAGTATGGTGTCGTGGCATGGAATGCCACCTGTAGCAATGGCATCCCATAGGATGGCTGAGTTCAAGTCCTGGTTACCCCACTTCTCATCCAGCTCCCGGCTAATGCACCAGCAAAGCAGCAAAAGATGGCTTGGATCCCTGTACCACGTGGGAGACCTGGAAGAAGCTCCAGGCTCCTGACATCAGTCCGGCCCAGCTCTGGCTAGGTCAGCCACTTGGGGAACAGGCCAGCAGATAGACAATCTCTCTCTTCATCTCTCTCTGTAAAGCTTTCAAATAAAACTAGATAAATCGTAAAGAAACAGAAACATGTTCATGTTGCCAGTTGGCACAGGTCTAAGCACCCCAGGTCCAAGTCCATGCTCCCCGTCTCTGCACTGCACTGTGCTCTGCACCTGCAAACTAGCAAAGTGCAGAGCATTTGGGGGCCAAGGACTACACTCTCTAGCTTGTTCATAGGTACTGCTGGCCTTCTGTGAGTGAACTAAGTTTGCGGGAGCTTGTATGATTTCAAGACTACAATAAGTAAGTAGCCAGTCTGCAATTCAAACCCAGGGTTGTGTCCCCTCAGAATCCCCATCTGCTATGCCAGCGTCTTTAGGGCATTGTACACATCCAAGAAAACAATTGTTTTGGTGCCCTTCTAAGAGTCTCGGTATTTCTTTGGGAATTCCACGAAATTTCTTTGGTCCATAAATCCACCGCCATTAGCGCAGCTTTGGTAATTGTTTAGGAGTCCGTCGGGAGGAAAGGAAAATTAGGGAGCACATGTGCCACACAAAAACCTTACGATAACTTAAGGATGTTTGGAAATAGTTATTTTTAAGAAGAAATTCTACTTTTGCTGTTTATCAAGGTCAATGTTTGAGAGAGAGAGCGCATCAAAGTCTCTATTCAAGAAGCTGATTTCTAAGCCTGGAGACAGGCAGCTGATCTTTGGGGAGTAGGATTGATCGGAGTGTCACCAGGAAGGTGGAGCTCTCTCACCCCCTCAGAATCTAGAAAACAGATTTATTCATGACATTAGAACAGGAGTAGGCAACCTACTATTTTTGCATAGTCTATGAGCCAAGAATGGCTTTTGTAACAGCAGTGACTTTTAAAATGAAAAGTAAATTTTTTTTCTTGACACATGGGAATGTGACTCGTGAACAGACCTGTCACGCAAGCTTCAATGCACACCACCCCCCATCTACCGGGAACGCAGCCCTGCCTCTTTGTTTACATGTTGCATGTGGCTTTGTGGGGGACAACCATGTGGAGGGGGGGTGGCAGGGGCTGCATGGCAGTGGAGCTCAGTACCCTCACTATTCTCTTAGGCACCTTGTCTTCATTTTTCTGCATATACCACTTAACTCAAGTAAGGATTTTAAAAAAATTATATAAGACGAAGAGACAGAAAGAGACAGTGCTTGCATCCACTGGTTTACTCCCTGAGAGCCTGCCTGGGCTGAGATTAGGCCGGAGGCTGAGGCCTAGAGCTGGGGACATAGCGCAGGCCTCCCAGCTGAGTCATCCTTGCTGCCTCCCAGCCTGTGTGGACTGGAGGCTAGAGGCGGTGATACAGCGGTGTCTTGGCAACTATCCCCAACACCTGCTCTGAGTGAGCATCCCTCATTACTCACAACAAGGAGCCTAGTGCAAACTACAAACTCTGCACCTCAAAACAGAAGAATTCAGCTAGAGCACATGTCTCCAACTCCATTGCGCCAGCTCCTCTCCCTCCTTGCCAAGGCTGGGTTTGTCCTCAGGCTGGCTTTCAGGGACAGGGTTGTAACAGTTCAGACCTGCCCATCTGAACAACACACACACGCCACTGAGGCAGAGTTCCGAGCTACTCTCTGACTAGGCTGATCTCGGGTCTCGAAGCGCCTGTCCCTGTGATCCGGCCTGGTGGGGAAAGTGTGGGAGTTGGCCCATCCCAGCTGCACCAGGGAAAAGCAGGTGGATTCTAAGGTGCACACCAGCACAGCTGTTTGGGGCATGTAACCTACAATGTGCTTACAAAGAAATCACAATTCATTTGTTTTTCTTTTTCTAATCTCTCTTTGAAATAAATGTCACCTGTGTTTTTTTAATTAAAAATAACCTTTATGCCAAAAAGCCCAACATATGAGTTGAATGGTGCCTCCTTTACAGATATGAAACTCCAGGGCTGTGTTCTTAACATCTGGATCCCCACAGCTCAGTTCTCGCCTCCCTCCACTGCCCTGGCAACCACCGGGACCAGCACTTTGGGAACTCAGTGGGTGGGAGCCAGTGGGAAACTGCACTTGGCCTTCAAACACTGCAAGAGCTGATGTTCTCTGGGGTTCTCATGAACTACAGCAAATGAAACAGGAGAAATCTTTAGACCTTTCCTCACTAGAAGGCATTAGGTATCTTGTCTCCACGTAAGAGCTGTCAGTGAAAGCAACCAATGTGTAGAGAAGCCTCTGTTGCTGACCGGGGTGGCTCACGGTGTGCCGCAGGAGAACTCAGAAATGTCAGGAGTCCTGAATTACTCATAACTGTAATGGGAAACAAATAAATGCAAATGCTCACACATAACCAGCAAGTAAGCCCTCACTGAGAAGTTGTAGGCTTGCATGGAAATAAAACAGGGCCATTGATGCAAGGCCCCCATTTCAACTACACAGCTTCTAATACTGACATGTTGCTATGTCATTCTGCATGCGTCAGCCCCAGTGCCTGTTACATCCTGTAGTTTCATTGCATAATTAAACATTCCTACTGGATGTACCACTGCTGCTTGAAAGCAACTTGGATGTAGCACACCAAGAAGCAACATTTCTCTGGAGATTCCTAATTCTTTACAGGTTTACAGAAATTTAGAAAACTACTAACCTTTACAGCTGACAAAATTTGTGCTCATGCTATATTGCACTTATGACTTCTTTTTAAAACTCTTCATGGATTTATTTTCATTTCCTTGAAAGTCAGAGTTAGGAGAATGAGAGTGTGTGTGAGAAAGATTTGCCATTTACTGGGGCACTCCTCAGAAGGCTACAACAGCTGGGGCGGGGCCAGGCTGAAGCCAGGGGCCTGGAACCCGGTCACTGGACCATCATTCATCACCTCCCCAGGTGCACTGTCAGGAAGCTGGACTGGAAGTGAGCAAGCAGAACTCAATACAGTACATGGAACCCGAAAGGCAGCTTAACTTGCTGTGCCACAACACCTTCCCAAACTTTTTGTTTTTTTCAACTTTCAATACTAACTACCATCTTTTTTTTTTTTTTTTTGAGAAGAGGGGGCAGCCAAAAACTCTATCTAGGCTTTCCACATGACCGGGGAACTCTACTGGCCACCATCTGCTGTCCCTCAGAGTCTGCTCTAACAGGAACTTTGAGTCAGAGGCCGGAGCTGGCAGTCAAGCCTGGAGCCTGGACGTGGGATCTGGACGGCTTAACCACTACACTAAACACCTGTTCCAACAGTGTTTCTTCTTACAGCCACCTTCCCACCTCATAGAGACTTCAGACCCCCCTCCTCGCGTCTACAAACGTCCTTTCTTTTTTATAAGATTTGTTTAATTTTACTTGAAAGGTAGAGTTACAGAGGGAAGGAGAGACAGGCAGAGAGGCCTTCCATCTGCTGGTTCACTCCCCAAATGGCCTCAACGGTTTTGAACAATTTGCCCCATAGCAGTGTTTGGCCAGGCTTTTCATAGACTTTTTCCTCCCAGTCTTCTCATGGCCCTATCATGTTTTGGCGGACCGCTCGGTGTAACAGCCACGTGCATTGTCTCAAAGGGGTGCAGGAACCTTTGGGGTGATGTGGCGTCTTGTCAGAGGAACTGGTCACAGTACCCTGCATGTCCTGCCTGCTGACAGCTGGCCTCAGTGCCTGGAAATGGAACCACACAGGGTGCCACCTTTCACTTCTCTCGGTCCTGTTGGGAGGAAAGAGTTGTCAGCCATGGGAATCTGCTGCTGATTAGGAAAAGACAAAGGTGGCTGTCTTCAGCTGCTATATCTGGAATGAGCATTGAGTGAGGAATACTTGTTAGGACTACGGTTGTATGCTTGCATTACAGAGGATTTTTTTTTTCCTAGAACATTGCTTTTTTTTTTTTTTTCCTTTCCCTCAGGAACATTCCCTGGAAGCAGTGTTGCTTTCTGAGTGATCAGGCATGCTCAGAACCCCTCAGGACTCAAGCTGAACTTGAAGCAGAAAGACTTGGAAATCTTGGAGAGTGAATCATGGAGTACAAGACCAAGGGAAAAGAAGAACAGCAACACAGCATGAGTTTACTACACAAAATCAAGAGCATGAGAGAACAGGCAGAAATGGTTGATGTGGTGCTCATAGCTGAAGCGGAGGAGTTTCCTTGCCATAGGCTGGTCCTGGCCGCGTTCAGTCCTTATTTCAAAGCCATGTTCACCTGCGGGCTACTCGAGTGCACGCAGAGGGAAGTGGTCCTCCACGACATCACGGCAGAAAGTGTGTCGGTGATCCTGGACTACATGTACAGTGCGGCCCTGGAGATAAACAACGCCAACGTGCAGACGGTGGCCATGGCTGCCTACTTCATGCAGATGGAGGACGTCTTCACTGTGTGTCAAAAATACATGATGGACCACATGGACGCCTCCAACTGTGTAGGCATCTATTACTTTGCAAGGCAGATCGGAGCTGAAGACTTATCTGATCGCTCCAAGAAGTACCTGTACCAGCACTTCGCCGAGGTGAGCTTGCACGAGGAGATCCTAGACGTCGAGGTGCACCAGTTTCTGACGCTCATCCAATCGGACGATCTTAACATCTCCAGGGAGGAGAGCATTCTGGACTTGGTCCTCAGGTGGGTGAATCACAGCCGGGACCTGCGCACGCAGCACCTTGTGGAGCTCTTGAAGCGAGTCAGGCTGGAGCTTGTGAGTCCTTCCTTTTTGAGACAGGCCCTGAGGAGGAACACGATGCTTCTGTGTGATGCCGACTGTGTCGACATCATCCAGAATGCGTTCAAAGCCATCAAGGCACCCCAGCAGCCCTCGCTAAACCTCCGCTACGGCATGGAGACCACCAGCCTCCTGCTCTGTGTGGGCAACAATTCCTCGGGCATCAGATCAAGACACAGGAGCTACGGCGACGCCAGCTTTTGTTACGATCCGGTGTCTCGGAAGACCTACTTCATCTCATCTCCCAAGTATGGCGAGGGTTTAGGAACTGTGTGTGCTGGTGTTGTCATGGAAAATAACACCATCGTTGTGGCGGGAGAAGCAAGTGCCTCCAAACTTTCTAGACAAAAGGACAAGAATATTGAAATCTATAGGTGTGTATCCAGTAACAAGGGTGTCCTTTTTTCACACCCATACCTTGAGAATGTGTCCAACTGCCACTGGTGGGAAAGGTGGGGCCCTGGATGAAGCCACAGGGATGGTGGCCGCTGGCAGCATGGGGACATGAGCATAGCTCTCTGCAGCACTGGCAGGTATAGACTGAGGAGCCAGGAAGTGGGATCCACACAGGAGAAGGCGCTGGGGTCTCCCTGGCAGGACTCCTTTGGGTCAGAGCCGCTCATATGGCACTTGCTCTTGTCTAGGTGCCCTTCTTCCCACCCAAGGGCTTCTTGGCCAAGGATGTCAGGTTCTTTAGTTAACTCTTATGCTTCCCCATCAGGGCAGTGCCCAGTTCTACTGGCAGAACACTTTCTACAAAGGAAAACCTGCATGTCAGAAGTCTTTTTGATCCTTCAATATCTATTCTCTTAACTTTCTCTCCTTTCTGATATCATGTCCAGTCACTTGCCTCCACGTTTCCCTTTTCATCCATCTTGAACTCAGCCAGGCTCTCTTCACCAACCAGTTCTTCCACAACCATGAGAACTGTGGGAAGAGTTACCAGTTATCCCCGCGATTTTCTCTAGTAATGAAATATCAGCAAGGCAAAACAATGGAAGTATCCCAAGCAGAGGCCTGGTGATTTTTAATCTGCCAACACCATTCCACTGCAGGTCGTTTTAGTGCCAATTTTGTGAAATGTGTGAGAAATGTACCAGCTTGAAGTACAGTCCTACGATATGACTGGACTTCAAAAAAAGGGGTAGAAAAATAGATTCAAAAGGCGAGTTTAGGGAGGTGTTAATAGCCTAGCAGTTAAGAGGCCTATGTCTCACATGGAATAGTCCCAGCTTGGGCTTGAGACTCTGGCTCCCCGCTCTCGTGGACCCCAAGGAAGCAGCAGACACAGCTCACGCCACTGCATTCCTAGCATCCACAGGGGAGACCAGAATGAATTGCACAGTTCCTGGCTTCGGCCCAAGCCAGCTGCAGCTGTTAGAGGCCTATGAGGCACGATTCAGCAGGTTGGTGATCTCAACCTTCAAGCTATATAGCTCCACCTCTGCCTCTGAAATAACTTTTTAAATAAACATAAAAGATGTTTATCTGGATGCCAAAGTTATGAAATCCATGCATAGTTTTTTTTCATGAACTTTCTGAAGACCCATCATAGGCACAGATTTCAACAGTTTTTGTACCAACATAATATTATTTTCCAAGTCCATTTGCCATGCATTTTTTGAAGAGTGCTGGTCTGTTTTCTTCTTTAGTTGAAAGGTAAAGTGGATGAATGCTGAGCTGGGCCATGTCTTCTCACCAAGCTGTGCCTTTTCTTTTGCTCTGTTAACCTGCCACACACTGGCACATTGGCAGCTGGGAATGTGGGAGCTGCCTCGAACTGTTGACCTTTGTCAACATGGAGCGATCTTGGTACCCGGGACTCTTTTTATGTCCTATCCATTTTTCTTCATAATGAAGTTTTAGATATTATCTGAGCATTTTCTCTCCTCATTTTTAGTTCTGAATTTAAAAGAAAAATCATATCGGCCAGTCACTCAGCAAACGTGTACTCCCCAACCTTCACGGGATGTATTTCAGCACGAGCCTATTTTCTAAACTGCGGCTCCAGAGAATCAAAACCCGCTATTTAGTTCTATTTATATTTTCATTCAGTTGGCTCTATTTTATTAGCCTCCACAAATAGACAACCAATCCTCCCTTCTCTTCTAAAACACATACAATTAAATGGATTGGTGAACAGAGTGGGCATTTAGCTTCCCAGCTAAGGTAGCCATGTCCCCCTCTGGAGTCCCTGGCTCGGCTCCCAGCGTCAGCTTCTGAGACCAGCTTCCTGATAACATGGCCCGTGGGAGACAGCACCAACAGCTGAAGGAACTGGGTTGCAGCCATCCCTTAAGGAGACTGGGACAGCATTCCCAGCTCCCAGCTTTGGCCCTGGGCCAAGCCCAGCCCCAGACTAGCCCCAGTTGTTGCAGGCATCTGGGGAGTGAACCAGAGCATCTGTTTTCCTGTGCCCTCCCCATCCATGCCTCTCAAAAATTAAGCACATACATGTTAGTGCAAACATCACCGTGATTCTAGGATTCTGGTTTCCTGTCTGATGACACAGTAGGGAGCCATGATAGAGCTGGATAAACTTGTGCCTGCAGCTGAGTTGGGTATGCTCCAGGGAGATGAACAAACCTCCCCATTGCCTTGTCAAGCTCCAGGGAAAGACTCAGCTCAAGAAGAGCACAGAGTCAGCCTACGGCCACTGGGAAAAACTCCCTCTGATGTGACTGTCACACATTTAACACAAAATAAGTAGTCTGTATTTCATTTCATTGCGTTCTGTTCAGAACACCCCTACCACAGCTGCTTCATCTGTTTTCAAACTGAGTAACTTTTTTCTTAGTACCTGTGTTTTCCGGAAATTTTTGCTCTGTTGGTATGGAATTGCACATATTCTTTCTGGATGTTCTGAGCTGTTGTAATTTCACGTATTTCATCCCACATTCCCCAAGAGTACTGACTTCCTCCAGACTCATGGTTGAGTCAAGACAAAGGATGGCTACAAATTCACAGGCAGAGTGACAGAGTAATGTCCCCCAACCTCCCCTCCCACAAACCATCAGTTAAAGTGCTGGGCTCCAGAGGGCATTGAAACACCAGCTATCCTAATATCCCTACCTCCCAATGCTCTCAGACGGCCACAATTATTCATGAAATAAATTACCAGCATTACCATATCCATTAGATTACAATAGCTGTGAAATGCCCCACAGGCATCCACAAGTGCATTTTTATACAGGGCTGCTGACCCCATTGGAAGCCAGTAAAAACTATAACAATCTCCAAATTCTGCATGTCCTGTGCATAATCCTGTTAGAAATCCTAAAAAGCTTTTCAGATCTGCTGCTTAATGCTAAGGTTAAAGTGATGCATCTCTTGGCCACAGAATAGCGCAACTTCAAAGTTTTGTGTGTTTTTTTTTTTCATCCTCTTTTTATGGCAAAATCATAGAGGACTTGCTTGGGAGTCTTCACTGTTTTCTTGAGTTCCTGTCCCACAATCAGGAAATGAACGCTGACAGTCACTGGGTAACTTTTAATTGCCCTGTATGCCGTTTTCTAATGTTCTTGAGGTAGATGAGGTTAATCATTTTGAAGTCTATTATATTTTGTCCATAAGTTCAAAAAAAATTGAGAAGCAAATGTGTACCACTCTTGCACTCATGAGGCACAGAGAACCCCACGTCATGACATGAGCATATGGATTTCTGGGTCGGTGGTTCCCATGTTGATGCTAATCCCAGTTCTCCCTCTGTCTGACTCACAGGTATCATGACAGAGGGAACCAATTTTGGGAAAGGCTGTGCACAGCGGAGTTTCGGGAGCTCTACGCCCTGGGCACTGTGGGTAATGACCTCTATGTCATAGGAGGGCAGATGAAGATTAAAAACCAGTACCTGATCACCAACTGCGTGGATAAGTACTCCGTGGAAGGGGACACGTGGAAGAGGGTGGCTCCCCTGCCGCTGCAGCTGGCATGCCACGCCACGGTGGCCGTGAAGAACAAGCTGTACGTGCTTGGAGGCTGGACTCCTCAGGTTAGGTGACCCCCTGCACCCGGGATGGGCATGGCTGCGCAGGGCTGGGCCGCCAGGCAGAGAAAAGCTGCTGTGTGATTTAGGCTTGGGCAGGTTTCTGGCCTTACAAAGACTGAGGTGTCAGATTTTAGGGTGCTCAGACCATCTGGGGGAATGAATTCACAGGCCACAACCTACAGACGTGCCTGCCTTCAGCCAGTGTAGACCCTGTGTTCAGCACAGTCGCGCCATCTTCTCTGTAACACAGGCGAGAGCTGGATCTGCATCTCCATCCTGGCCACTCTTCAGCAGCTGTGTAATCTGGGGCCTGGGTTTTTGCACATGTAAAATTCCTCTTCTTTGGGGGAAACCAGAAGACCAGTCCCGCTAGTGTACTGGCAGTTCATATTTTCATGAGTGTTGGCAGAGAGGGTGACCAAAGACCAGAGTCCAGTGCAGTCCAGCGGAGCCGTGGTCGTGACACTGAGAAGGCAGCCGAGGAAGCACGGCATCCCCAGGCTCTCGCAGCTGCATGCTGCCCTGGCCACCCAAACAAAAACCACCTGCCCTCATACTCAGCCATCCAAGAAAGGACATACAGTAACTTCAGGGTCAGCTGTTTCTTGCCTGTCTTAGCTCTTATTTCTCTAGATTTGCTTCATAATAAAACTAACACCTAGGCATTCATTTCATGAGCTTGGATTTGCCATCCCCTAGAATATGTCAGACTTGTTTGAAAAACTCAGATTTCACACTTAATACATTTCCTACTTGTGATAGCTATATATAAAAAAAAAGGTGCAGATTTCACCACAACTAGTAACTGAGATCTGACAAATCCTTTGTAATTAAGTTATTTCCAAAGGCCTGGTGTGATAGCTCAACTTGCTAATCCTCACCCCTGCAAGCGCTAGGATCCCATATGGGCAGCAGTTTCTGTTTCGTCCGCTCCATTTCCTTTCCAGCTCCCTGCCTGTGGCCTGGGAAAGCAGTCCAGGACGGCCCAAAGCCTTGGGACCCTGCATTGGTGTGGGAGACCCGGAGGAAGCTCTGGCTCCTGGCTTCGGATTGGCTCAGCTCCAGCTGTTGAAGCCAACTGGGGAGTGAACCAGTGGATGGAAGATCTCTGTCTCTCCTTTTCTCTATAGATATGACTTTCCAATAGAATAAATAAATCTTTAAAGAAAAAAAAATTTCAAAATATCCATTTAGTTTTGCATGAGTAAATGCCAAAAGCAACTTGTAGGCTTTTCTTTTACTACAATAGAGATTACTTACTTAAAGTAAAAAGAAAATGGAAAGCATAAGGTAGATATTTGCTAGTGGACAGCCTTTCAGCAGAAGGCAGGGGAACACTTCCTACGTAGCCAGGGCTACCGCTACTGGTCCGAGTACTGACCAGTACAGCCAAGGCAAGACAGCACCAGGCCGTGAGGGCAATGGAGTATTGAACCCAAACTAAATGTGCGCAGCTCTCATAATTAGTCCTCCTTGTTTTAGATTTCTTAACTAATTAGTGATTTGAAACACAGGGATTTACTACTCACTGGTTCACTCCCTGAATGCGTACAACAGCAAATGCCAGGCTGAAGCCCCAAAGTCACAAACTCAATTCGGGTCTCCGACATGGTGGTAGGAAGCCTCTGGGGGGGCTGGAGCTGAAGCCAGGACGGGAACCCAAGCACTCCAGCACAGCCTGCAGGCACTGGGGCCAAAGGGCTGCATGCCCTGCCCTCACAGCTATCTCTTACTTGAATGCTTGCACCCGCAAGTCCTCGGGAGCTGCAGGTCCACTGTCCCCCAAAAGCTTCATTTCCCCTGTGGCTTGTGAGTGGGAGAAAGCGCTTGCATCTGGGTGAGAGTAAAGCCACTCAGCTTGCACTGTTTCTAGTCCTTCCAAAATGTAACGAGGTACGTGAAACAACTCCTGAGAATGCGCACTAATCCACGTAGCTTGAAAACTGAACTGAGAACATGGCAGATAGGTCCCAATTACCATATAAAAATAGTGTGATTATAAAACACCAAAGTATTTTTTGCTCCTTCATTCCATATGAATTAGAAAAGTATAAAGAAAATGGCTTGTATGTCATTTAGATTAGTTTTTCACAAATACTAAAATCCATGACTCTGGAACAGAATTATGCTTTAAGAACTGTTCAAGGGAGCTGGCTTTCATTTTTAAGGCTTTATGACTGCATCATTAAAAAAAAAAAGCTACAGTGTCTCACAGCTAAGAGCACAGGTTGTCAGCTCTAACGTGGCACCTCAGCCCGGTCAGAACGGAATATACACTGCCCGGATCCTGGCAGCATCGCGGCCCCGCGCACGCGCTTCTGACTGAGCCGCCACAGCCACCCTCCACCTGCCTGCCCGGCTGCCTGCTCTGCTTCCCGGCTTTGGCGCGCTCACATGGCTAAGTGCTGGTTATGACACTGGCTGTCGTACCTCACGCAGATGGATCTTCCTGATGAGGAACCCGATCGATTAAGCAACAAGCTGCTGCAGTACGACCCCAGCCAAGATCGATGGAGGGAGCGGGCGCCCATGAGGTACTCCAAGTACCGATTCAGCACGGCCGTGGTCGACGGCGAGATCTATGTCCTGGGTAAGAGGGGCGCATCGCTCACGGGGGTTGCCGCTGCGACTGTTCTCGGCAGTTTGTTTCAGTAAAAAGGAAATATTCTCCTTTCCTCTTCTAGCCTAGTTCCCACACATACATAACCCGCCATTTTCTTTCATCTAGTATTTTTTTTTCTCGAGTACAAATAGGATTACATGAAACTCCATTGACTTTTTACTGAGAGCAAAATTATTCTTATGGCATTTTCAAGTGCCCTGCAATGAAGCCGTGAGTAGCAAGTAAATATACTCAGAGGGGAATAAACCCTTGGCTGCTCTTAGTCGCTAAGACCCTGGGCTTTGCAGGCGCCTGTGACTGCCTGTGCGGTTAGAAGACAACACAGCCTGGGGGCTCTCTGTTCTCCTCCTGTTTAACTCTCCACGTCTCCACCGAGCTGTTACCAAATACTCCTCTGATGCAGCTCTTTCTTTTTAAAGCTTTCCAACTGCATCTCTTTAGATGTATTTATTTGAAGGTGGGGAGAGTGAGAGAGAGAATCTTTTATCTGCTGGTTCAATACCCAGATGCCTGTAAACAGCCAGGGTGGGAGCAGGAATTCACTCCATGGGGGCAGGAAGCACTTGGGTCACCATTCCTTCCCAGGCCCATCAGCAGGGACCTGGCTGGGAAGAGGAGTGCCCAGACATTCCTGTGTGGTATGTGGGTGTCCCGAGTGGTGGTTTAACCCTTGTCTGCCCCTCATGCATCTTTCCTTCATCTCTTGAATATGTACCATGTTGTGCTAACAAGCAGGGATTAAGGAAAGACTTCAATTCGGTTCCACCGAAGTGGACAAAAACAACTCCAGAACATCCTTGCATGTCCTTCTCTCCATCCAACTGCGGAAAGGCAGGAGAGCAACCTCCTGGCCTGACCAAACGATAGCCATGCCACCTGACTTCAACCCACCTGCACCGAATGCCGAAAGGCAAAAACACGGGTGAAATGAGGGACAGCAGGGAAAAGAGGAAAGCAAGAAGAGATGAGAGTAAACCAAGCGTTTGAATGGTAATGGCTCTTTCTCCAAAGGAGAGGCCATTATCCCTTGGCTGTGTTCACAGCATGAAGCAAAATAACTCAAGTCCTTTTGTATTAATCATTGACTCATGATTTTAAGAATAAGAACATTATGCACTATAATGTATGACTACCTCAGTTAAGGAGATTCACTTAGAATAATTAAGCTTTTTCTCTTTGTCATAACCATAGACCATGTGACAGGCCTAGAAGAAACAATTACTGAGTTATAATAGGTTGCTAAGGAGAGGCACACAACTCAAGGGTAAAGGTCCAACCTACTGTATTCAAGTGGGAGGTAACCTAAAAGAGCTGTCATCAACTGAACCAGAATGAGATGCCCCCTACTCTAGAATCAAAGCTAAGCTCCATGTGGACTAGAATGCAGAATATCTTTTTCCAGTAAATCATACAGGAAAAGGCCTCTCAGGAGTGTCCCATCGTGGCCATGTCTTCACAGAACAAATGAAAATAAGTGAACTTAGAGGACATGTAAGATTTAAGTGAATGAAATGGAGAGAATACTGGGAAAGGGAGCAGTGGGAAGGGGCAGAGAAGAGGGAAGGAGAGGAGGAAAGGGTGGGGAAAGGTGGAAAAAAGAACAGGAAGGAAAGGGTAGGAGGGTACGAAGGAAGAGAGAGGCTCTCTGCAGACCTAGAGCCTCCCAGCAATCAGAAGGTCTAGATACACTCCAAAACCACTCATCATACAGAGCGCCTTGGAGATCCTAGATCAGAAGGGGAAAGCAACCGGCAATGGCAACATGACACAGACGGTCTTAAGGCAACTAGTCCAAAGTGTTTTTAAAAAAATCTATTGAGAATATTCTTGAAGTAAATGCTAACATTGAAAATCTCAACTAAGACACATAGAAGATATAAAGAAAAAAACTGGAAAATTTGTAACTGAAAATACTACAACAAAAATAAAAGATGGATTGGATGATGGAGATGGATGGAGATGACAGAAAGTGGACTGAAATGTGGACCAATGGAACCTCTGCCACTGGGCGACAGAAAGGCACTGAAAGGAACCTGTGGGACAGTGCCAGCTCTCCTGGTCAGGTCCTTGGAATCCAAAACTTCGAGGATTCTAAGAGCAGTGATGAGAAAAAAGCTTAAATTCTGAACAAAGGCCTGCACCCTTCCGCACGCAGTCATAAACTTAAATTTTGAAGAAGCCAAGCAAACCCCAAATAGAATAAATCTATAAAATCCATACGCAGACACATAATCAATTGAACAGTTGAACAATTAAGGAAAAAAACCCCTACAAGTAGCCAGACAAAAACATGTGCATTACCCAACACGGAGTTTGAATAACAAGAAATTCCTAGGCGGAGATGTGGGAAGGGGCCGGGGGAGTAGCCGAACAGTGAAGACACCTGCATCTCCGTCACAGCACCTGGGTTCAATGCGCTGCTCTGACTCTCTCCTGCCAGTGCAGACCCTGGGGGACAGCAGGGATAGCTGAACTCGCAGGTTCCTGCCCCCCACGTCAGGTATCCTGGCTTGAGTTCATGGTGCCCAGCTTCAGTCCGGCCCAGCCCTGGCAGTTGTGGGCATTTAGGGAGTCTACCATCAGATAACGGAGTGCTCTGGCTCCCACTGAACTACGAAAGTATGAGAACTGGAAGGCATTGCAAATATTTATAATTTTTAAAGTACTAAAGGAAAAGAGCTGTCAATCCTTGAAATGAAAATCCTTGAAATTAAAATATCCTTCAGCAATGAAGCTGAAATCAGTATATTCAAGGATAAAGGGAAAGCGAGAGAATACATGGAAGGCAAGTCTACTTTGAAAGAACTGAGAACATTCTTCAACCAGGAGGGAAAGGACGCCAAAAGGGAACCTCGCACAGGAGGAGTCAATTAAGACCAACAGAAATGATCACTATCGGGTAAATGAAATAGAATATTCCGTGGGTTTCTAACACAAGTTCGATGACTAAGCATTATTACATCTATGGGGTTTCCAGTGCACGCAGATGGAATCACTGATACATACTTTCACACATCATAAAACAGAGACCTGACAAGTGGAAAGTTCCAGCATCCCAGTTAGAGTAGTAAAGCCATGATTCTAAGTAAACTTCACAGTCAGATCAACTGGTCAGCTCTAGGAAAAAGAGATCCTCAGCCAAAACCTCACACCTTATGCAAAAATTAATTGAAAGGGGGAACACAGAGGCAAATGTGAAACATCAAATTTTAACATTTGGAGTCCAGCACAATAGCCAAATGGCTAAATTCCTTAACTTTCATGCACTGGGATCCCATATGGGCACTGGTTCATGTCCTTGTGGCCCTGCTTCCCATCGAGCTCCCTGCCTGTGGCCTGGGAAAGCAGTCGAGGACAGTCCAAAGGCTTGGGACCCTGCACCTGCATGGGAGACCTGGAAGAAGCTCCTGGCTCCTGGCTTCGGATTGGCTCAGCTATGGCCATTGCAGCCACTTGGCGAGTGAATCAGCAGACAGATTTTCCTCTTGGTCTCTCTTGCTCTCTGTATATCTGCCTTTCCAATAAACATAAATATATCTTTTAAAGATATAAATTTGCAGAGGATAATAGAAGAAAATGGTGTGACCTTAAGCTCAGCAAAGAGTTCTCAGATAAAGGGGTTATCAGGGGTCACCCCAACTAGGCCACAGCATCTGCTGGTATGCATGAAGACCAGACCTGTGGCAGGCTGTGCTGGGTTAGGCAACTGCATCCATCCGTTCACGTGAGATATGGGGATGGAGCAAACTGAGCAGGCAGCTGCATCCACTGGTATGTGTGTTGGCTGGTGCAGGTGATGGACTGAACCTGACCCTGCTTTGACTGGCACACACAAGAGTCAAGTCTGAGGTCACGCCAGGCAAGGTTTCTTGGAGGACTCCCCAACTAGACCAATGGTCACAGGGAAAATCACAGGATGGGGGGTCCAACTGTGGAATACACGTGTCACGACTGGCCCCCTCAGTTGCAGATGCCTGTGTAGTGACGTGACGAGCATGCCCAGATGCGCTCGGGGGCCATTATGACTCACTAGGCCAGCAGGGGATATCAACTGCCTCGTCATAGGAAGAAAAACAGAAAAAGTAGGACAGCTCTCCTGGCCCAGCTTTACAGCATCTACCTGGATCTGTGGGTGCACTAAGGTGGACTTTGTCAACCAACAGACCTTGGAAAGATTTTCTCAATCCCAGTGCAAGGAAGCTGACGATGTCTCAGAACTATCAAAACCACTCAACTAACACCCTTAGAACTTTCTTCCTTACACTGGGGTCTCTAAAGTGTCATCAGAGGACTGTCCCCCACCCCCAGGAGCTGATGTGGTTTAACAGCAAGGAGTGGCCCCCTACCTTTCCCCCCAGAGGACACAGGAGGGAAAAAAAAAAAGAAACATTTGTCCCACCCACCTTTTTCCATATTTTGATCTTTCTACCTTAATTGGAAGCCCACATGGGCATGCATCTCTCTCAGTCATGTAAACATTATCAAAAATAAAATGTTAAAATAAAAAAACTAACAGCAATAAACAATTTTCCCACAATTAGTAACTTATGCTCTATGAATCAAGCCTGTAACACACATCTGACAGAGCTTGCTTCCCAAAATTCAACAACAAAGAAGCAGAAGACATGAACTTTACCTAGCGAGGATAAAATATTCAACATCCTTAGCCATTAGGAAAATTCAAATTAAAATCAGTTAGGAAAAGGTACAATCCAAAATAATACAAATATATTAAAGGTTTAAGGATATAATCCCAAGAAACATTTTGAGAAAAAATATGAAATCATTACAAAATTATTGCAAAAAAAAAATTCTAAAATGACTGAGGTCATTAAAGGAGTTACAGATTTTTAAATATTCTATTTAAAAATAGATTCAGTGTAAGAACCCAGCACTAGTTTGATTGCATCCCTTTAACACACTGTACTTTGTTGTCGTATTCAAGTGCAGGGCTCTTCAATAAGTTT